ATAATTTGAAAAAGCACTCGAAGACTTTTTCATGTAAAACATGTGGCAAATCATTTGGTTACAAACACCATCTGGATAGACATAGCCGTGTTCACGATACTAGTGTTTTCACTTGTAAAATATGCCACACTAAGGTCAAAACAAGAAGCAATTTTATTAGGCATATGACTCGGCAACATGATGGGTTAGATCCTAAAAATTACTGAAATCAGAGTATTTATTAAAAAACGTCTCAATATCGATTATTGCTGTTCTTCTTTATATAACAAACAGTTTGTAGCAGGTAAATAATTAACTGATGTTTGTCAGGAAAAAAATGCTAAGCATGTCCATTGCTAAAAATGATTGATGCATTTTGGACAAGAGCAAACTTACTATCTTATTTTAGGGGCGGACCATTAGAGGCTTCGGTAGGGGGAAATTTGCGCACAAAATTGATTTGATTTTGAATGGATATTGTCTTCTGATTTGAATTCCTTGCGTCGGTTATATAATATATATTGACGAAATACATCTGGATTTATCATGTCTCAATTTCTTACTACATAAGTGTAATTTATAGACGAGGCGGCCTCGTGTATAAGCTTTTGGCTTCTAGAGGTTCTCTCGACGTATTTTTGTTATTTATTATTTATTGTTGTCTGTATGGTTTAAGTAAGGGGAAAGTCGTAAATATAATAAATCAATTTATCATTCCAGTATCTAAGATAGAAAAGCAAGCTTAGGCAATTCAGTCTACAGATCATATTGCCAATAACAAGAAGGCTTGCGTCAGCTGCGTACGAATGAACAAGCTTTCGTTGGTAGGGACACGACCGACCTGAAAATATATAAGGAGAATTTCACGAAGTGTCGCGCGTTTTGACATACGATACGAGTGAAAAGGAAATACCAGAAATATTTTTTTATTAAATCTGCTTACTATACATTTATTTAGTCGTGAAGACCCGCATAAAATCGTTGTTCAACAAGCTATTTCGCCACCATTCTGTCGTTCTGTGCCAATATTCACAGTATCAATATCTTGGCATTCTAGTTTCAGTCGATTGGTGAGTGTTGTTTATATTTTATTCCAGACTGCGCATGATGAACATAACATATCAATTGCGTAAAGAAATATTTCGGCACAAATTTGCTTATATTGACAAAATTTCCAATACTTGTTCAAGTCACATCAGAATGTTAGAAACCGACAAACCTATGGGTGTTGTGCCTGTTGCTTATACAGTAGTTGTATTCCTCGTTTCGTTGGTTTTCCTGCACATAAATTTGACTGGGCCACTGGGGTATATGAAACATAATTAGGGACCGGTGTCAAGCGAAATTCCTGACCTCTGCGAAATTCCTGACCAAGCGTGACGGGACAGAAATTTCGCGTGTGCAGGCGCACATGTGCATCATCGTGCAGTCAAAAGACTGAATTACTGTGTAGTTTACAAAATTATAAAAATAGAGAAATTAATGTACAACGTCTACTAGAATTGGCATAAAAATTTCTAAGAAGTAAGAATGATTTATCATTAAAACTATATTTTAAATATTATATTATGTAAAATTTAATGATAAAAAAGTTAAAATTTGTCTGACAGTTTTCAGAGCGAGTGTTATTTATAGTGTTTTTTTCGCATAATGGTTAATAAAACTGTTCTCAGGGCGGTTTGTATTTGATACTGGGACTTCGAAGGTCCTTTCTTTTCGCAGATCTCTATTAGCTGCTTTTGATGGGAGGGGTTTGGCAAGCTTGTGGTCATCGTTT